GGGAGTTCTTGGAAAGAAGACGTGGTTCGTGCTTCCTCCGTTCTATTTTCAAAATGGTTACAATAATGCTCATGGATAATATTTTTAATAAACTATTTGAGGGTTTGTATGCCTAAGTTTGCCAAGTGTGGCTTTAACACTTGTAATATTGTTTTCGCTGCTTTAATGAATATTTTACATTATGTTTGTTTATGGATGTATTATGTGTGAATGATATTCCAGACGCCTTGTATAGTATGAGTGTGTTAGACTGCGGTTGACTATTCGTACTGTACGACGGGTTGTTGACGTGTCCAGATAGGTCCGGGGCATGACAACAAACAACAATCTTTTCCTTTTATTCTCTTCGGTTAAATATGGCTTGATTGCACTGCTGTGGCTTCTTAGTTCACCTCTTTTTACACCTCTATGAACTGTTGATTTGCCCATTTTCAAAGCTTTTGCAAGTCTTCTGATGTTAGTTCTCTGTTTTAGACTTCTAATGGTATCTGGCTAACTGTTGTGTTGTTTACTTCCTTCTAAGGCCTTCCTTTTTTGCCCGGAATTCTGGATTTCACATTAATTGGTGTATGTAGCTACATCTGCCTACTTGCATGTGCCCATATTCTGTTGATTGTTTTTCTCTTTACATTAAATGCAGCAGTTGTCTCACTTATGGACCCTTTTTGCAATGTACCCCCCAGTTGATGACTTCTTTCTCGGAGAAGATCTACAATGGTCTGCCTCTCAGAATCTGACAAATTTGTCTTCCTGCGGACTGTAATTAGTGTAGTGGTAGTGGTATCCATTTTGCTTTTAATTTGTAAGCTGCAAACCTTTAGTGAGGTTGTAAGACTTTATTTAATGTTTGAGAGATTCTATTTAAAGGACTGCAATTGTTGTACTGTTTTTCACTTTTGGCGGTATTTTAAAATTTCAAGTGTTAGAAGTTGAAGTTTCAATTCAATATTTTCAGTTCTGGCGGTAAAGTTGGCGGGTGAATGAGGTTTAGTACGAGTAATTAGTTTCAGCTTGTCATGTTGTCAAATGGTTCCAGAATGGTGGGGGCAGGATTGCAGGATCTCCGTATATATCCATTGCTTTATCAAAAAACAACTTTGAATAGTGTTGATGGCAGACCCACTCTTTATCTTTATGCTCCGTCTTAATATGCGTGCCACTCCCACCCGTCCCAAACATAGGGGGGCGGAGGGAGTACAAAAGATCATTTGAAGGACCTTTTTGAAGTGCATAAACAATTAAGAGGCACATGCAATCGTTGTAGAAGTTCACTGTGTGGTGCTTTTGACACATTTAGAAGCTTACACCAGTTACACATTCAGGGGCGTAACATAATGCTAGAGAGAGAAACATTACAACTACAATCTCTATTGTTCACTTTTTCACTTGACCTAGTCGATGAGAGATGAAAAGAGACCGACAGAGTAGTGCTTATAATCTTCTAATTCCATCTGGGATTTACTGAAAGATAACATGTTGAGTAACTTTACGTGAACATACAATATAAAAAAGTGAGCAGTTGAATGCTGCTCCTAGGTTGAGAGTGTTCCTTTGGCCTGAGTACACTTGATTGGGACATGAACTTTATAATTGATTTGGGAAAAGTTATTTCTTTGGGCTGAATTCATTTTTGGGGGCTTTAACTTTGGACTAAGTTTGATTGTGGATTCATAAACAGGATTTTACAAGTTCAACGACTGTTCGATGTTGACTAGGGTGTTGAGTATGATCGTTGACCGTGTACTGACTAAGTTGAGACCACATCATAATCATGTAAATAATTTTTAGACATGATCTGAGGTGAGGACCCATAACCCATATACTCTTACATTTGGTAGATTTTGCATGAGATTATTTAGTGAGTATCATGTCAGTCCTAGCGTTTGGTTTGGTGATGTCAGCGTATGCAAATGTGATGTAAACCTTAGATGTGCGTGTCTGGGATTCCAATGAAGTAGCTAAGTGTGGAATTTGGGTCGAGCCATTGAGCTAAGGAGGATCAGAGGAACTGAGAGTAGAGATGATCTTGTTTGGCCTCACCAATGTAGCTCGGCCCAATGTAGAATTAGCTCATTGATGTAATGCTGAGTCCCGATTATGGATATTGGCCTCGATGGAGGGCCTTGACTCAGTTGTAAGGGCATGGGCTACCGATTTGGGCCGTCTTCTTAATTTGCCCCCGGGGTATGTGGCAAAATAGTCCATCACATAAGTTTATAGATGATGTAGTTTGTAAGATTTCTCTACTACTATAAATGCTCTTTTGGGATTAGGGTTACATTAATCCCACAAAATCGTTTATATAATGAAAAGACATTACTTTGTTTCTCCACAATTTATTATTACTTCTACTTATGTATAATAACCCATCACCACCTTGATACATGTATCATTATTTATCCTACCATGTGTAAGATTTTGCACGAGAAATTGTGCCCATGACTATTCATAAGTGTTCCTTTATTAATCATGTAATATACTTGATAAACTTGTTAATATTGAGGACTTTTACATGGAGTGTGCTATTGTGGTTGAAAATTTCATACACGCGGAAACTTTTCTAATGAGATTTTGTTCGTAGTAGTACATTTCGGTGAAAAAATCTACACTCTAGTAATTAATAAAACTAGTAATCACATGTCATGGTATGCGAGTACGTAAAACTCCAAGGGCACATTATAAATCACGAGACAGAAACACCAATCTTCTCTTAAACTATCAATACAAGTCCCCCATCCCATACAATTTGGTCATGTAGTCTTCAGTAGTGCATAAAAATAATAATAATAGGAATAATCGTGTGATTAGACTTGTATAGAGCAAAGTGAGAAAACATCAACCACAAAATTGTTACTTTAAAAAAGGATGGTAAAGTTGTTTAGGATGGCTAAATATAGAAAATTGATGAATTTAAGTGGGACGGATGAAGTAAGACTTATAATAATACTTGATGCACGCAAAGTTGTACACGCTTATTCACGAATTTCGAAATTCTCCACAAAGACATACTCCGTATTTTGTTTGTTAAGTTAAGCAGCAAATAAAAAAAAAGAAAAATTGTTGGAAGAGAATTCGATTTCATATACAAACAATGACCATCATAAATAAGAATGTACATGTATAGATAAAAAATGATTGCCACAAACAATAAAAACATTTGCTACACAATGATTTCCGTGCATCAGACATCTCTCTATATTTTCTAAAAGAAACAATGACAAATATGTAGTGAAATGAAGGTAGTGGAAAAAATTGTGACTTAGTGACTATCATAGTAACTTTAATTTAGTGACCATGATCATGTTCAACTTTGTCATTATAGTGACTATGCTCAGTAATTATAGTAATATTTTTGTCCATTAGTAAGATTCTGGTAAATTATATTAAAAAAACAATAGCTGCACTAGAATAATTTAGAGATCTTCAGATGAATTACTTCATATAGACATTTCATTTCCCTTTTTGTACTGTTGTGTATTTTTCTTCTTTGTATTGTTTTTATTCTCGCTTTGTACCCCTACATTTTCGAAAGTTGTTTTCGCTATTTTCACCTAGAGCGATTTGCCTGCTTCTTTCTAGGCTTAATAGAATCCTCCCTTAAGAAAAAAAGACGCGTTTTGTCAATGGCACAATTTGACAAAATAATGTTTGTATATGAAATTATGAATTGATTCCATTCACAAAATATAAAGCCTAATCCTTAAAAATATCATTAAGGAGGATTTTGATTTACTAATCTGAACTCCTTTGCGATCTATAATTTTCATGCAATAAGGCTATGTTTGGCGGGTATAAGTTCATATCTTTTAACTTTTCTACTATTTAAAAAGTCTTTAAAAGCTTATAGTTGTATGTTTGGCATGTCAATTTTTAAAATCTTTTATAAAAACAAAATATCTTTTTTGAGATGCAACATTGAGTGACATCTCAAATAAGTTTGTAACTTCTAGCATTAATTAGTCCAAACAGCTTATATACCAAACAAAGCTAAACCAAACAGTCAGTTTTTATCACACAGATATTGCTTTTTTCTTTTAAGATCTTTTCAGTTACTAAAAGTTAACAGTTACTAAAAGATTCATAAAAGTATCTTTACAGCTAGTTGTGTCAACCATATCCTAAAGCTCATTGTGAATCAAAATGCATCAAATCTTTGTAATTGTAATATAATGTACTCTTTTGTCTATACAATTTTCAATCACACATTTTTTACATTTCTTATTTCACACCTAAAAGGTAAACATACACTTAACAACGGTTAAATTTCACACCTAAAAGGTAAACATACACTTAACAACGGTTATTGAGATGAATGGAACATGTTTTTATTATTACTCCCTCCGTAACATTTATATCTTCTCACTTTCCTTTTTTTGATGTAACATTCATATCTTCCCATTTCATAATCTTCCAATCATACCCTCAATAATTTTAAAAATAATACACTATTACACCTACTTTTTTTGGATTTATCCTTCATTCCAACACATTATTTCACTATCTTCCCATCATACCCTCAATAATTTATATCCCCTTTCACTATTCTTAATCTACCTACTTTTCAAATGGGAACATATATATGTTACGGAGGGAGTAGTATATTACGGGTTTGGGCGTTTAGCCATTAAACCGATTTTTTTCTATCTAAATACGTACACCCACCCTTTGAAGCCCGACACGGCACCAGATTTTCCGTCCGTGGACCGTGGTGATGTGGGTTCCCTTAGACTTGAAACGTACGAAATAAATGAAAATATTGAAAAATAAAGTGAAGATAAGATGGAAATTTGGTGCATTGAAAATAGGACTAAAAAGGGTGACAAAAATACAGTCATCCCGTCCGTACAAAGAAGGCGATCCAAAGCATCGTCGACCAAGGGCTTCCAAATCGCCGATGACCCACAGATCACTTTCTGTGCTGTCCACGTGTTCCCCTTCCATTGGTTCACCCTTCAATGAACTTTAAGCCCAAACGTGTTCTTTGCGTTTCTCTTTCCTATCACTACTTCAAAGTCCAAACCCATCTCTGCACTGCCCTCTCCGGCGAATATATCCCTTTACCCGACGCCATTTATCCGTAAAGAATCTTTTTTTCACATGTATAGACCTGTGTGAAAGAAGAAAAATTTTCAGACTGAAAGAGAGAGGCTGAAATTCACAATCTTTTGTACCCATTCATCCACCTAAAGGTGCCCTTCTCTACCAGGCACGGAAAAGATTGTAAAGTGTAAAGTTGTGGTCTTGAAGGCTACTGGTTTAGGTCTTATCCTTCTTTACCCCCTATATAGTTCATATTTATGCATGGCAATTGTGTTCCTGATGTATATGCACAGTAGATTTTGTGCCCGCAAGTCTGGGTCTCTTTAATTTCGCCTCCCTTATCTATTCGCATCTCGCTTCTGTAAAGATTCCTGCTTTTTCGGTTTTTCCCGTTGAAGCTTTAAATTCATTCAGAGCAAGAAAAAGGTTATCTTTGATAGGGGTATATAATTGCTTGACATTGTTTGGACACTCTGGGGTTTCATCTGAGATTCGGATGGTGATTTGTGGTATGGGTCTTCACTTTTTTATTGTGTTATGAATCTAACTGGTGAGCTGAGAAGGTAGTAGGAAAGGGTGGGTTCTGATCAGTAATTCAAATCTGAGAGAGTTGTGGTTTGAATATGAGGCCCTCAGGTATAATCTGATTAGGTTTATGTACTATGAGCTGTGGGAGTGAGAAGAACAGAGGAGGAAGAGCAGGGGGAGGAGGAGAAGATGAAGGAGAATATGAGAAAACCAAAGAGGAAGACGAATATGACCAAACTTTTGGTGGTCGAGATTCTGTTGATGTGTTATCATTGAATGGATCAATTGTAGCCTCACAGCAACATTCTATTGATGAGAGAGTGCTGGTTGATCCCAAACTTATTTATATTGGATCCAAAATTGGTGAAGGAGCTCATGGAAAAGTTTACCAAGGAAGGTGGGTGTATTCTACTATCACTACCATTTCTTCATGCTTTAGTTGTACTGGTAGTCAATGCTTATCTCTGAGAAAAATATCGTATATTATATTTTTATCTGTATATCCATCGATGGAAAATACTATTTCATTGGTTTCTTGAAATGTTATTGATGTTATTAGGGTAAAATTAAATATTCTGCTAGTTTCTGTTAAACTAGCTGACCAAGATGGGAGGAGTTGGTATTACCTAATCTCTAACTATGTTTCCAACATGTATTTGTTCTTAGGTACGGGGATCAGATTGTTGCTATTAAAGTTCTCAAACGTGGGAACACCACCCAAGAAAGGGCTTCACTGGAAAGTAGATTTGTGAGGGAAGTAACAATGATGTCAAAGGTAAAGCACGAGAACCTTGTGAAGGTGAGTTATCTTCTTTTTCTATGTTCTTTCTATCTCGACATGTTGTGATAATTATTTACAATCTTTGACCTTAGTTAACACCACTAACGGAAAATCTCCAACTCAATTTCATTCTGCATCAACAAAACTAACTAATATATTTTGGTCAAATAAGAGCAACTCCTTTAAAGTCTGGAAATTATAGTCTTCATAATAATTGCAACACATGAATTTATATTATTAATGAATAATCCTTAACTTGGATATGATTAAATCTACGATTAGATTGATTATTTTAGTAATTAGTCTGGTGTTTGATTTAAAATGAATAAATATTCACATATATGTAATTTATATGCCCTCAAGTTTTTTTTGTCTATACTTTTATTTCTTTGTAGTTTATTGGAGCTTGTAAGGATCCTTTGATGGTAATTGTGTCCGAGCTGCTACCAGGAATGTCCCTTCGGAAGTATTTAGTGAGTCTTCGCCCCGCAAAGCTGGACCTTCTACTTGCACTAAATTTTGCTCTTGACATTGCGAGGGCCATGGAGTGTCTACATGCTAATGGAATTATACATAGAGATCTTAAACCTGGTACTAAGCGGCTTGTGAAGCTGTACTAATTCTTTTACAGAATCTTGTAATTGTTGTCTGTTGAAATGATTGAGAAACAATATAATGACCATTTTGTTGTTGTTGAGGACTTCATTTGTGAATAATTTGTGAAAGAAAGAAGATTTTTTTTATTTCTTCCATTTGTTGATGCATGGAGACCTGAAGTCATTTTCCCCTTTGTTAACATATTGTAAACTAGAGCTACTGCTCCTTTTTCATCCTAAAGATCGATTTAGTAATACTTACTTGGTATTACACTATCATTTTCTGTTGTGATGTTCTGGTTTTTTAAATAGGTTTTTACATTTTTTGTGTTCGGGTGTTTTTTCATTTTCTGTAAAGAGTACTTCTTTTGCAGACAATTTATTGCTCACAGCGGGTCAGGATTCTCTGAAGCTTGCAGATTTTGGGCTTGCAAGGGAAGAAACTTTGACTGAAATGATGACTGCAGAAACTGGGACGTATCGTTGGATGGCACCTGAGGTTTGGAAATTTACTTTGCCCGTCATTTCTCTGAAGTTGTTTGGAAGACAGATAACATGAAGCTTTTGTGTCCAGTTTGATGAAAGGGAAAAGAGTCAAATAAGGCCTTCTACTATTACGGAATGTGTCACATAAGGTCATGTACTCAATAAAGTGTCATATAAATACGTCTACTTATAAAAAGCAATCAGATAAGTCCTAACGACCCGTTGACAACCTCCTAATCCTGATTTTAGCTTACGTATCGTTATTTTTGCCCTGTATTTAAGTCAATCTTGGCTAAATATTCCATGCCAGCCTTATAAAATATTTTGAAAAGATAGGCAAACTTATGCTAAAACCGGGATTACGAGGTTGTCAAAAGGTCATTAGGACTCATTTGATTGCTTTTTATAAGCAGACGTATCTATATGACACTTTATTGCGTACATGACCTTATGTGACGATTTCATAATAGTAGAAGATCTTATTTGACCCTTTTCTCTTGATGAAAAGAAGTTAAACTTTTCAAGGAACTTGCCAAACAAGAATCACAAACAAGCTAAAATATGATAAATTTAGTAAAACTAACAAAGAAGTTTAAAAACATGTCATTCATTAAATTCATGATTATGGCAGCTGTACACTTCTACCATACATTTATGCAGTTGTACAGCACAGTGACTTTGCGTCAGGGAGAGAAAAAGCATTACAACAACAAAGTTGATGTCTATAGTTTTGGAATTGTCCTGTGGGAGTTGCTGACAAACCGCATGCCATTTGAGGGAATGTCAAATTTGCAGGCTGCATATGCTGCCGCCTTTAAGGTACAAAAAATCAATTTCAGAAGCACCATTCTTAGTTTCTCCTTTCCTATGGCCAAACAAAACTGCATTAGAGCAAACATATGTAGATCTCATATTGGCTAATTGACTATGCATGTGCCTGCACACTGAGGTTTATATTCTAAATGTCGATGGATAAAAAAGTTCTGTCCATATTTTTATAACGTTATTTGTGGAAATGAAATTTTATCATTACGTGATGAACAAAGAGGATAGCCCAGAGAAAGCGTCATTCCAAAAAAGAGAAAAAGTATATCTTACCAATCTATGTAATTCGAATTGTATATTAAGAAGAAAGTTTTATATGAACAGCTTCAAATTTTTGATAAGTTGTAGCTTGTAGCTATGTGTTTAAATTTCCTATAGAAATTGCAAGATTGTTAAGCTCCAGATTGCTGATTTAAGGGTTTTGATTTCTTATAAAATGTGGTGAATACAAGTCCTAATATATTTACCGAACCTCTATTATAATACCAATGTAAATTGGTGTACAATCTCATAAATTAGGGATGGTAACTCAAGCTTAACTGAAAAAGGCTTATGAATTGAAAACTTGAAGTGAATTGTGTAATTTTTTCTGACAACAAATATTAACAATAACAATCCATGTCAAGGTTGAAAACTTATTAAACAAACATGAGCAAGTCAGCAAGAACACAATGCATTCTTTTATTCTTTCTAAAGATCATCATGTTTGCTTCAGGTACAGCAAACATAGATCTTGAATCTTACCTGTATTTATCATTTGTAACTTTTGTGATTCTTTGTTGGCAAATTACATGAAATGATTAGTTTTATTTGATAAGGTATGGTTTTTTCTATTGGGACATAAGTGTCTGAAATCGTTATTTTTTAAATGGAGGCAGGGATTATCTCTTACGTACTTTAAGACGAATACTAATGCTTTTGTAATCTTTATGCTTCTATTGGGACATCCAAGTTATATAGAGTATTAAATTTATATCTTTATGCCGAGCACCTTGTGACCTGATGGTCAAAGTGGAGGTCACGTTTCGAATCACATCCAATCAAGGTTGAGCGGGATTGTTGAACAAATACAATAAATAGGTTAGGTTAGAGTAATAAAAAAAAGTATCTATCTTTATGTATGCTTGTTTGTGCTCTCATTGTAGTCCTTTAAACCTAAAGTCTCACATGTAGGTGGTAAATCACCATCTAATGATTTTTAATAGAGCTATTATACAAATAGTAATTGAGTAGGCTCAGTTTTTTTACCACTTGATGCAAAATATGAAGAGAATATCATTGACCTGCTCTTTGATTGTTTTATTTGAAAAAAAAATATGGTCTGCTGTCATTTGTTAATAAGCCTAATCTATATGAGTTTGGTGCTTTGACATGGCAATGCAGCAAGAGAGACCTATACTTGCAGAAGAGATTCCGCCAGATTTAGCATTCATCATACAGTCATCTTGGGTTGAAGACCCTAATATGCGGCCAAGCTTCACCCAAATCATCCGGATGCTCAATGAGTATCTGCTCACCCTTTCTCCGCCCCCAACATCTAGCAACGGCGCCGTTGTTGAGTTCTCTACAAGAGCTAAAGGCAAATTCTCCTTCATTCGCCACATTTTTGCTGCAAAGAAGGGTAAAAACTCGCAATGATGATGGTGGACGAAGAACATATAGTTGATAGCTATGTGCTGGAAATATCTTTAACAAACAATAAAATGACATAAAGAAAAAGGGTACCTTCAGTAGTCTTTTTTAGCTGATGACAGTATTGTAAAGAAACACATTTCTATACTCTCTATGTCCATATTCCAAACATGTCTTTCTTTTGACCTTAATGGACTTTCTTGTCCAGCAGTTTCAAAGTAGTTAACCATGTTCCCTCAGGATGCTGCTGGATCTTTTCTCCCCGGTGCACGCCTACAGCCTCCCATGTTACCTTTTTGGGTAGTTGATATGCACTAATTAGTAGTGCATAAGTGTGTGTTTTTATGTTTGATTTGTGTGTATTGTTTATCGTTTTATTTAGTTTATAAACATTTGTGTGATTTTAGTTGTAATTGTATTTTAGTTCTCATTTGTAAGTTGTAAATAGAGTTAGGATTTATGGTGTTGGAAAGGAAGACTTTGAATGAGAAGAAAAATAATTCTTGGCTGCCCAGGACAATCACCCGGTCGGGTGAGGTATTGCACCCGGTCGGGTGAGAAATTTAAATGCGAAACTGCTCAGGAAATTACATCACCCGGTCGGGTGAGGTATTTCACCCGGTCGGGTCCGACTTGACCCGGAACACCAGAACGTGCCGAAGATCGCCAGAACGTGGAAGATATTTGATTTTGACATGCACCCGGTCGGGTGGGCACTTTACCCGGTCGGGTACCCGGCCAAAGGTGTTGAAAAACACCTATAAATAGCCCCATTTTCCTTCACTTTTAATAATCCCTTCTTCCATACTCTTAAGCTCAGTTTAGAATAGTATTTCTTTTATATTTTATAGCATGTTTAGTCTCCAAATGAGGAGCTAAACTTCCATTTCTTGGTGTTGCTCTTGAAGCTTGTTGATTATTAAAGTTGCGAGTTATTTTCTTAACTTCTTCCCTTGAATATTAATTATTCTCTTAATCTATCTCTATATTAATGTTGGGGAGTGTTGCTAAGATGACAATTAGTTAACATCTCGACATTAGTTATAGTAGTATTTATTTTCTTCCTCTATATATTAATGTTGGGGAGTGTTGCTAAGATGACAATTAGATAACATCTTGACATTAGTTATAATAGGATTATTCATATTTAATCTTCTTCCTTGAATATTAATTCTTCCCTTAACCTATCTCTATATTAATGTTGGGGAGTGTTGCTAAGATGACAATTAGTTAACATCTCGACATTAATTACTACTAGAAACGATCAACGAACCGATGGGTAATCGTTGATGGTTTCACAAGTAAGTAACTTCGGTTTATTAATGCACGGTCGTGGTTAATAAACTTAAGAGGGATTAATTTTGTTGGTTAAACCGAAACCGTTGTGTTGAGGTTATCAATCTCAATTGATTTCATCAAGGAGTTAAGAGATTAAATGCTACTATTAAGTCGGTATATGGCGGTGTTCTATACATGACTAATAGTAAGGGTTATTAATGAACGGTCGTTGTTAATAACTACCCTCGATGAATTGGATATACTCCTCGATTGAGTATTCGAGAGGGGATTAGTTATAGATATAACAATGATCGACTAAAATATATCAACAAGTGGAAAGTAGCAATGCCAAGTCCTTTTTATCTTTAAATTAAGTTGTTCATCTTTATGTTTAATTAAGTTAAATCATTCAATCCCAAAACCCCCCTTTTTATTTACTAGTTTTATAAAAAGAGAATTATTCCTTTCCCTGTGGATACGAACTCTACTACGCTATACTACGTATAAGTGTTAGTATTGAATTTATTTTGACGCACCGTGACAAAGTGCACGTCAAATTTGGCGCCGTTGCCGGGGAGAGGCAATTAATTTTTTTTTATTTCAAGAAAAAACAAAAAAAAATAAATTATTATTTACATATAAAGATTTCTACTTCTTCTGAGCTTTATAGTGTATGGTTAAATATCGTTCTCTAAACGAGATCACCTACCAATCAAACCCAGAAATAGAACAAACTCTCGAGCGGTTGAAAAATAAATTCTCAAGTACCGACTCGGGAGAATCATCAAGTGCTAGTTCTCATTCTAGCGAGCCCGAAGAGCCAACAACTATGGCTCTTGAAACAAGAACATTGAGGGAGCTCACGGCTCCTAACTTAAATCAACAACCTCTATGTATCACCTTCCCCACTCTTGATGAAGGTGCTACATTTGAGCTCAAATCGGGCCTTATTCATCTACTCCCTTCATTTCATGGCCTAAGGGGCGAGGATGCAAACAAACATCTTGCGGAGTTTCATATAGTTTGCACTAGTATGAAACCATATAATGTTACGGAAGAACAAATCAAGCTGAGGGCCTTTCCATTCTCACTGAAGGACACGGCTAAGGATTGGCTATTCTATCTTCCCTCGGGAAGCATAGATACATGGGCGGCAATGAAGAAATGCTTCCTAGAAAGGTACTACCCCGCCTCCATCTCATCATCTTTGAAAAAACAAATAAGCAACATTGATCAAAAAGATGATGAGACCTTATATGAATATTGGGAACGGTTCAAAAAGTTATGTGCTAGCTGCCCTTATCATGGCTACACCGAGCAAGACCTCATACTCTACTTTTATGATGGTCTTGTTGATGATGATAGAAGAATGGTGAATGCCGCTTGTGGGGGCGGCATTGTCAACAAAACTCCCTCACAAGCAACAAGCTTGATCTCAGAGTTGGCCGAGAACTCTAGGCATTACAACGGGCGGTCCTCAACCCGTAAAGTTGCCGCGGCGGAATCATCTTCATCTTTAGAAAGTCAGATGGCCGGCTTGACTTCTTTGGTTAAGGATTTCCTTTTAAATCCTAGAAACCAAGAGGTCAAGGTCTGCGGCATATGCACACAGCAAGGGCATCCAACAGATTCTTGCCCAACTCTCCAAGAAGAGCAAGTCAACGCCTTGGGTTTCCAAACCCAACAACAAAAGAGGTACGATCCCCACTCTAATACTTACAACCCCGGGTGGAGAGATCACCCTAATTTAAGATATGGGAACCCTCAACCACAACAAAATCAGTCCTTTCAACAATCCTTCCCAAATCATCAAGGTCAAAGCTCCAACTCTAACATGTCCACGGAGGACATGATTCGAGCTCTTGCTACGAACATGGGCACTTTGCAACAAAATGTTTTGCAATTTCAACAAGAAACAAAGTCAAGCATTCAAAATTTGGAAACTCAAGTTAGCCAAATTTCGATTGCTGTAAGTAGGCTAGAGGCCAAAGAATTAGGAAAACTCCCTTCTCAAACGGAGCAAAACCCGAGACAACATGTCAATGCAATCATGACGAGGAGCGGTAAGGAGTTGCAAACAAAGGAGGCTGAAGAAAAAGTTAACAATGACGACTTTGACACAACGAGGGGGAACCAACGAAGACAAAATTTCCTCCACTTTCATCATATGAGCCACTCCCTCCATTCCCTGAGGCGCTGAAGGACACAAGGAAGTTGGAGAATGATCGGGACATCTACGAGACCTTCGCCAATTGTGAGGTAAATATCCCACTCTTTAAACTAATCAAAAGTGTTCCCCGTTATGCAAAGTTTTTAAAAGAACTATGCACAATGAAAAGGAAAGATAAATTGAAGGCAAAACAAGAGGTAAATGTTAGTGAACGTGTCTCAGCAATTTTTCAGAGGAAACTCCCGGAAAAATGCAATGACCCAGGCATGTTCACTATCCCATGCAAAATAGGGGACACTTTATTTCCTAGGGCCTTGTTGGATTTAGGGGCTTCAATCAATGTTATTCCATATTCATTATACAAATCCCTAAAACTTGGCCCTATGCATGAAACCGGGGTAGTAATCCAATTGGCAGATAGGTCTTGCACTTACCCAAAGGGTGTAGTAGAGGACGTGCTAGTACAAGTTAAAAATTTGGTCTTCCCTGTTGATTTCTATATTCTTGAAATGGAAGCCGATAACCAAACTACACCCATCCTTTTGGGGAGACCTTTCTTAAAAACCGCCCAAACAAAAATAGACGTGTCTAATGGTTCATTAACATTGGAGTTTGATGACCAAAAGGTAGAATTCAACATCTTTGATTCTACGAAAAAACAATTTAAAGACCAATCTCTTTGTTCTCTAAATGTTTTTGAACCACAAGCACGAAATATTTTTATTGAAAAAGATACTAAGAAAACATCAATTTTTGAAAAAAGAATTGAACAAAAAAAATCTATTTTGAAAGAAGAGTCGCCTCAAAGCGAGTTGGAACCACCTGTGGTCGAGGCGATAACAAAGAAGAAACCTCGGCCTTACTGGAAAAGGCCAAAGAAAAAGAATGAAATTAGGGATGTCCACGATCCCACATAAAAAAATTAAAAAATAAAAATAAATAATCGTCGTGCCACGACGTTAAATAAGGCGCTTCTTGGGAGGCAACCCAAGTTTGTATTTTGATTATTTTCAATTTTTTTTGTGTGTGTGAGAAACCTTTCAAAAAAAAAAAAATCTGGGGAGTGGACCCGGGCGGGTATCTGATTTCACCCGGCCGGGCGTGTTCGTAAAAAGGCACCTGGAACAAAAAAATCGCCCGGGCAAATAATTTTTTTGGCAAAACCCGGCCCCTGGAGTAAATTACCCGACCGGGTACCTTTAATACACCCGGCCGGACATTTTTGACAAAAACATTCTGGATAAGCGGAAGTTAAGGCCCGACCGGGTACATTACCCCACCCGGCCGGGCGTTGGGATTTTTTTTCACAAAAACCGAGATGGCATCCTCTTCTTCCTCACTTCTTCTTCCGCAAACACGAACCAAACTCCACCAAAACACCATTTTCAAACTCCATACATTTGAATCTTCTCCAATTCTACACCAAATCCATCAAATAAACCCACCTCCCTCATCTCTTCATCACCCTCTTCACTACTACACCCCCCCCAAAAAAAAAAAAAAAAATCCTAAAAATCCAAATCCCCTTACTCCACAAACAACAAAACCCGAAATTTCCTCAACCAAAAAGAAATGACACCAAAAAAGGCAAAGAGATTCATTCTCTTGGACATCTCGGACACAAGCACTAGGGACAGTGCTTTGATTAGCTTGGGGGGAGAATTTCATGGAAAACTCACATTCATACTCTGTATGCTTGAGTTATTTTCAAAAAAAAAGAAAAGAAAAGGAAAAAGAAAAAGAAAATAAAGCTTGTTAAGTTGAAAACCTGAAAAGGCAACTTAAGCAAAAATAAAGCAAAAAAAAAAAGAGTGAGTTGTGAGGATTAAAACAAAAAAATGTGGGAAGCTGGGATGAAAACCCGAAAGGGCACCTAGGCAAAATGAGAGAATGAGAGAAAGTACTTTCTTTTATTTCTGCAGGATCCTAAGGGTAATAAAAAAAACTGAGGTTGATAAGAAATATGGAGTTGAAGACCCCCCTTTTACTCTTATATTTTTGGGGATATTTTTTCGTGTTGTTCTAAAAACACACGTGGATATTGGTGTTGATACTCTTGCCATTTTAGGGACTTCTTGGGCTGGATTTGGTTTACTCGAGACGAGTAAAGGTTCAAGTGTGGGGGTATTTGATATGCACTAATTAGTAGTGCATAAGTGTGTGTTTTTATGTTTGATTTGTGTGTATTGTTTATCGTTTTATTTAGTTTATAAACATTTGTGTGATTTTAGTTGTAATTGTATTTTAGTTCTCATTTGTAAGTTGTAAATAGAGTTAGGATTTATGGTGTTGGAAAGGAAGACTTTGAATGAGAAGAAAAATAATTCTTGGCTGCCCAGGACAATCACCCGGTCGGGTGAGGTATTGCACCTGGTCGGGTGAGAAATTTAAATGCGAAACTGCTCAGGAAATTACATCACCCGGTCGGGTGAGGTATTTCACCCGGTCGGGTCCGACTTGACCCGGAACACCAGAACGTGCCGAAGATCGCCAGAACGTGGAAGATATTTGATTTTGACATGCACCCGGTCGGGTGGGCACTTTACC